ACTTTTGTTAAATTGAAATTGCTGTATTTGAGTGCCACCAAGTAAAAAACTAATAGATAGACTTTTGGGGACTTTTTGGGAACTGACTACAATTTGACAATGAAAAACGTAGATTAAACTTCTGTTGACAGGTCAATGCCAACTAGTGCAAAAAATATTGACATAACTTTTATGCTGAAAATACAAAAACTTTTTATATCGATTTTTCTACAAAACGGTGTATCTCATCGACTTAGAGTTTGAGTAGGTTTCAGTACTAGAATACCTGAAAATTTAATAATCTAGTATCTTAAATACTTAAAAGTTAAAGACAAAAAGTTATTCGTTAAAATATCCGTTGATCTACCCAACACAGACGCCTATGATTGTTACTAAAAATTTTCAATTAGTGAAATACATTCAACTCTGGAAGATAAATAAATTGTACCAGTTCTCGTTTTTCTAAAAAGAAGCATTCTGAAGATATTAAGAAAATAAGAAGTTAGGAAGAAAAACTAATTACAAGGCGCCATCTTCAAAGAGCTGTAGTTCGCTTAGGAAGCAATTTCTCACTTCTTCTTCTTCTTAAGGTGCCGTGCATTTCTGTGTAGGCTTCCACCGTACATCGTCTTGTCAGATGAGATGTTAAATATTCTGGATTAAATAATTCTGTTTTTAGCAGCATTGCGAAGCATTTCATAGCTGTGGATTCCTGTCCATTGTCGAATATTGCGCAGCCATGACATTTTTTTACGTCCGAGACCTCTCCTACCCTCTATCTTCCCTTCGAGTATTAGTTGCTGAAAAGTGTATCGTTCTCCTCGTATAATGTGCCCCAAGTATGCAGTCTTCTTACTTTTTACATAATTAAAAAACTCCCTATCCTGTAAGCCCGCTCTTCTGAGTACTTCCTCATTTCTGACCCTGTCCGTCCATGATATTCTGAGAATTCGACGCAGGCACCACATTTCAAACACTTCAAGTTTGTTAATGGAACTGGCCTTTAACGTCCATGCTTCCATTCCGTACAGGAGAACAGGCCATACGTAACACTTAAGCATCTTGTATCGGAGGTTAAAGTCCAACTTGCGATCAGTCAGAAACTTACGAAGCCTCAAAAAAGCATTTCTGGCTTGTTCAACTCTGCTCTTTATTTCATTCTCGGAGTCCCAACCCTCATTCAGCAAACATCCCAAGCATTTGAATTGCCTGACTTGTTCGATTTCTTCTCCAGAGACATATATCTTTGCGTTGGGGTAATCATTTCTACTTATAATCATTGATTTTGTCTTCTTGATATTTATTTTCAAACCCCGAGCTTCACTTGCAACAGTTAGATCATTTAAAAGGCATTGAAGATCTTCGATGTTATCTGCCACTATGGCTGTATCATCGGCATACCTGATGTTATTAATAAATATGCCGTTAACTTTAATACCCTTATTAGAGTCTTCCACTGCTTCTGCGAAGGCTTTTTCTACGTATAAATTGAACAGCATTGGGGACAGTATACAACCTTGCCTTACTCCTTTTTTAATGGAGAAATCTTCTGTTTCGGTGGAATTTTAAAGACGTACTGTTGCTGTCTGATTCCAATACAGATTGACGATGATTCTTATATCCTTTGTATCCAATCCCAACTCTTGTAGGTATTTTATCATCAATTCGTGTTTTACATTATCGAATGCTTTCTCGTAATCGATGAAACAGATAAAAACATCCTTTCTTTGATCTAAACAATTCTGTATCAATGTTTGCATACTAAAGATCGCTTCTCTCGTGCCAAGTCCATTTTTGAAACCAAACTGACTCCATCCACTGACTTCTTCACATTTCTTAAACAATCTAGTGTGAAGTATTTTCAGGAAAAGTTTTAAAAAGTGACTCATTAGGCTTATTAGTCGGTGGTCCTTGCAGAAGTTTGCACGTGGTGTTTTTGGTAGGGCGATAAATGTAGATCGAAGCCAATCTTTTGGAATCTGGCCCGTATCGTAGATGTCGTTAAAGAGCTTGACAATAATGTCTAGGTTTTCTTCATTAAGTAACTTGATTGTTTCTGCGTACATATCATCTGGTCCTGGGGTTTTGTTACTTTTTAATAGTTTGATAGCGTGTACAATTTCAGCTTTCAAAATACTTGGGCCATACAAATGGTCTCCCAGTTGTGATGGTTTTTGTGTTCTGTCATCATTGAACAAATTGGCTGTGTACATTTTCCAAGTATTAAGTATATCGCTAGGGTCCGTTATTAATTCATTTTGGTCATTATGTATACCAGTGACTTGTTTTTTCTTGAAGACACCAGCAATTTCCTTAATTTTCTTGTAAAGATTGAAGCTGTCGCCGAGTTTATATAGGTTTTCAGCCTCGGCGCAAAGTGTAGTCATCCAGATCTCCTTCGCCGCTATAATTTCTTTACGAATTTGACTATGTATATTTCGGTACCCTACTTCGTCTTGCCTGATCTTACACTGCCTGCGTTGTTCCATCATCTCTAATATTTCTTCTGTCATCCACTCATTCTTTGTAGTTGTTTTACTTTCGAGTAGAAAAGTGAATTTCTCACTATGTGAATTGAATTAAATTGTCTCAAAATTATCTGAAGACATGCGGTCTTTGTTTATCATAAGAGTTTTTGGACACCCTGTACACAGCCATATTACAAATTTGGTGGATATGTAGCACATTGTGTTCATAATTATAAAATTTAAAAGAATGGGCATGTATAATAAAACCTTAATAAGAGGAACACGCAACGGACTAAAATATCACAATGGTGGCTGATATTCTCTTCGTAGAAGGCATATAACAAGCATAAATTATACCCACAAGTTCTTAAAATGCATGTTATTAGAAACGAAGGAAGAGGGAATTAAAGATAAAAGTCCAAAAACGTACGCGAACTTGCTGTTGAAAAGAAAACAACTTTTATAAGAAAAATTTACAATTATTTGAGGATAATGCATGATTCAATTGTTTTCACCTCGTATTTTACAGCAAACGATGTGTAATGTACCAAACAGACCGACAATAAATAAAGAAAAAAGAAGTCTTAATTACTTTTCTCTGAGAAACCGATTCAGATTTGTTTTGAATACAACGACAAGGCTCGTATCATTATAAGGCGTGGTAAATATTCTAGATGTTGATAAATGAAGTGAAGAATACCAAATACAATGTTAACCTGTCGTTAATAATTGGTCTCGATTCTCACGATGAGACCAGATAAAGAACTGGTTAGATCTACGTTTTTAGTGAAAGTTAAGTATAAAAATGCTCTACGGCAATTATGAATTCTCAACAGTAAATTTATTGACAATAAAATAGTTGGATGGATAATTAAATTTCACTATTCACGTTTTGCGACAAATATAGATTGGCATTTTGCTAGATGCGGGAAATAAACATGACTCTAATTAAATATCAAAATTTTTCTTGATTGTGATTGATATTTTAAGTTTTTATAATTGATTATAGCCAAAAAAAACCCAAACTATACCTAGCAATAATAATAATGTCGCCGACTCACTTTCATCACTGCAACTGTTACAGTTCTTGTTTTAATGTTACATATTGCTTTTGGTTTGACCAATGACGGTAAATTATTATAAATTATAATTAAAATATATTACAATTACAATAAAAATTAATATACAATGTTTTAGGAATTCGCTAAACTCAATTAGACTTAAACATTTTTCAACATTCTCAGCAGATTTTAAAATTTAAGTTTATTTAAAATTCTTCTTTCTTCTTCTTCCTACTTAATCAATAGACTTAATCTCTGTTTTACTTCGATTTTTAGCCTCAATTGACGTTGTCTGATCATCTTTTTCTCCACTTTTCTTCTTTTGGTCCACCCGTTTATTTCCTCTATACCACATCTCGCTCGTATTTCCTCACTTCCTACTCTGTCTCTTAGAGTTTGGTCTGTTATTTTTCGTAAGACTTTCATTTCTGTTGTTTCCAGCAGTCTTTGTGGTTTTGCCGTATCTGCTCTTGTTCTGCTCTGGTTTTCGTTTTCGTTGTAAGCTATTTGTTTCTCCAGATTGTTTTGTAGATACATCCTGCTGCTCAGTTTGCCATATTTACTTATTTTTGTACTTTTTCTTCCACTTTTTCGTAGCTTGACAGTTTTACTCCTAAGTATTCAGTTGCTATCACTTGTTATATTATTTTGTTATTTACGACCAATTTACATCGTCTGGGTTTCGCTGATATCACTATCGCTTTAGTTTTCTCTGTTGAGATCACCATGTTGTATATGAGCGCCGTATCTTCGAATTCTTTAATTAATCTTTGTAGGTTATCTTCACTTTTGGCTGTTATTATGGCGTCGTCGGCGTAGCATATTATCCTTATTTCCTTTTCTCCCATTCTATATCCTCTTCTTTTTTAACTTTCTTTATGATTTCATCCATTATCAGATTAAATATTAATGGGCTCAGCCAATCTCCTTGTCTAACGCCAGTTTCATATTTGGTAGGTTGCGATAGTTTTCCTTTGTATCTTACCATAGCTATGCTATCTTTATATATATTCTCAATGATTTTTACTAAATCCAGTGATATTCCCTTTTCATATAATAAATGTATCGCGTCCCGAATTCTCATTCTCTAAAACGCTTTCTTCAGATCTATCAGACACAAATATTATACTATGCTGGTTTGTTGTATTCCAGTGACTTTTCTTTTATTTGTCTTATTACAAAAACTGCCTCCGTGCATTATCTTCCTGTCCAAAATCCTTGCTGTTCCTCATGAAGAGATATTCGTTCGTTTATTTTTGTCGCTATTATCCTTGTTGTCAATTTGAGTATTTAGATTTATTGCTCGATAATTATTGGGGTCTTTCTTATCTCCCTTTTTGAAGTTTATTTAAAATTAAATAGAACATTAGAAGAAAATATATAAAACTATAATAATATTTTCTTTTATCTGGATATATTGGATAGTTTGTATCTTTACTATTTTGCCATATTTAATTAATTTTAACTCCAAATTTCACTTCGTACATTTTAGGTAGTACAGCCACATACAACGGAAAATGCTACATATTTTACAATAGACAGCCTCTTCATTTCCGAGACGCCCTTTCCTTTTGTCGGTCTAGAGGAGGCACGTTAGTAGACGAAAGCAATCCTGCCCTTCAGGGATTTATTAGCTGGGAACTTTGGAGAAGGCACAGAAGTGATGCTAGCGGACAGTATTGGATGGGAGCTTTAAGGGATGCTGATACTCGTGGTTGGAAATGGTTGACCGGAGAAGACGTTACTGTATCATTTTGGAATTTACCAGTTGGTAATGGCGAATGTTCAAGATATGATGGTACTAAGGGGTGGCTATGGTCTGATACCGATTGTGGAATGAGACTTAATTATATTTGTCAACATCGTAAGTAGATACTTGATTTTATATGAACGTTTTATATGAATATTTGAACTAATTATAATTAACTTTTTAAACCGTATGGCATAATTAATAGTTTTTTCAAATACTGTGTGTTATTGAGCACCTAAATGTACACGAATGTTATACAAATAAAAGCAAAAGCTGGACAATATTTTTAAATTGTATTACTATATTTTTACTTATTTTTCAAACAACTTATTTCTTTCATTATATCAATACCGTCTTTTCAACCTAACTTTTCAATGCATTTTTCAATCATATTCAAATGGTTGTTCCTTTTTAATGAATGTCTTCTGCTCTGTTGTATATTTTATTTACAGTACACAAATCTTATATGTTTAGAGCAAAAAAATTTATGTTAAATCTAATGGATGTTAACGATATGAGGTAATTATACAAAAAATATTTTACACCTTCAAAGAGTATTACCAATTGTATTGCCAAATGGTTTGTATATCGATTGACAGTAGTTACGAAAATACTGACATGTCACAAATTCTAGTCCCATCCTATCTCTCCAAAATGGTACCCAGGAGACACAATTAAACTTTTAAAGTTTCTTTTAACAATTATCTCCTACGGCTCGGATAACCTAGCTTATTTCTTTGAATTATACTCCGTAAGTAGCAAATTTTTACATTTAATAATCCTCTGTCCACTAAGTTCTTTCTTAGAGTTATGCATTTCAGGTTTACCTACCTTCTCCTAAATCTTCTTTCTTTTAATTATATTCCTGTTCTTCTTTTTCTTCTTTTTAACATGACTTTTTTTGTTTTTCAATGTACCTCTAGTTAGTTGCCGTTCCATCTTTTTGGTGGTTTTCATACTGATCGTCTTTCTATTGGGGAACTGTCTTTTGCCATCTTTACTACTCTATTTGTTGTCATTTAGCTTATGTGATCGTTCCATTTTACTCTTTTATTTCTTACCCAGTTCTTTATGTTCTCCATCTTGCATATAAGTCGTATATCTGTACTTTTAGCTCTGTTCCATAGTGTCTTACCATCAATTTTTCTAAGTGTTTCCATCTCTGCTGTTTCTAACATCCTTTCTTCACATTTTAACTTCACTTCCTCTCTAAACCGTGATGTTTTCTTTTTTGATATATTTTGATATGTCTGTCATGGACGATATCCAACCAGCTATTCCGGAATTAGTAAATTTTTACATAATTGTTCGTCCACTATTTTTGTTCTTAAAGTTGTGTATTCTTGATCATTTTAGATTTACTTACCTAGCTGAGGGTGACAGATGTCGAAACGCGTCAAATGTTTAAATAATAAAGAATTTTTACAATGTTGTGGGTTTACTTTGAGTTACTGTATTATCTTATAAACCACATTAGACAGATACTTGTGATTATGAATTTTAGATTACAAATTAAGGAACATTATTTGTGATTGAATAATTATTATAGTTCTTTCATCCAGCCCGAAACTCACTTGCCTCTCGAAATCCCCCATCTCATTTGCCCATCTCTGGCAGTTAAACAAGAACTGTCAGGGATGGCAAATGTTAGAACAAAAAACCGGAAATACTGAAAAATGCAAATGGAAAACTTGTGTTGAATACTAACAACAAATTAAAGAGATGGACAGAATACATCAACAAACTATTTAAAGACAATAGAACAGAACAGATGGAGATAGAAGTAGAACAGGATATGGTTTTAAAGATTTTAAAAGAGGAAATTAAAATGGTTTTAAAAAACAGAAAAAATGGTAAAGCATTAGGTCTAGACGAAATCCCCATAGAAATTTTAAAATGCATGGATGATGAAACCTTAGACATTATAGTAGACTTATTTAACTCAGTATAAAAAACAGGACACATACCAAAACAATGGTTACTCTCCACCTTTTGCGCTATCCCTAAAAATACAAACGCTAAATATTGCAGTGAACAATATCACTAATAAGTCACATTCTCAAATTTTTCCTGAAAATAATACATGGTCGTATAAATAAAAACTGGAAGAAGGAATAGATGATAGTCAGTTTGGGTTCAAAAACGGACTAGGAACCATATAAGCGTTATTTGCCTTTATTGTTTTAGCTCAAAGATGCATGGATATAAATGTTGATGTGTATGTTTGTTACGTTGATTTTGAAACAGCATTTGACAAAGTAAGACATGACAAATTAGTCCAAATTATTAAGACAAAAAACATAGACCACAGGGACTTACAAATAATAACAAACCTATACTGGAATCAAAGAGCACAGATCGTAATAGATAACGAACCCAGTCCAGAAATTGAAATTAGGAGAGGAGTTAGGCAGGGATGTATTATGTTCCCATTACTATATAGTGACGCCATTTTTAAAGAAGCATTACTAAAGTGAAAGAATAATAATTAAAGGAAGATCTACTCACAACACAAGATATGCAGATGACACCGTGATTATAGCCAGCTCTGCTGAACAACTCCAATTACTGCTAAACAAAACAAACAGTTTCTGTGAAAAATATGAACTAAAAATGAATATAAAAAAGACCAAATACATGATAATAAAAAAAACAAATATACCAACAAACATACATTTGGTAAATGTACCGATATAAAGGGTTGATAAATACAAATAGCTAGGAACCTGGATTTCAGACAATAACGATCAAAAAACCAAAATAAGAGCTACGATAGAAATAGCAAGAAATGCGTTTGTAAAAATGAAAACAATTCTCTGCAACAAAGATCTTAGATTAGAACTAAGAGTAAGAGCATTGAGATGCTACGTGTTTTCTATACTGCAATATGGACTTGAAAGCTGGACATTGAAGCAAGAACACATAAATAAGTTACAGTCCTTTGAAATGTGGTGTTACAGGAGGATGCTTAGAATAGCATGGACGAGGAGAAAATTAACATGGAAGTATTGCGAGAAATGGACAAAGAATGCGAAATAATAAACACAATAAAAATAAAAAAATTACAATATCTGGGACACGTAATGAGGGAAGAGCGATATGAACTGCTAAGGCTGATAATACAGGGAAAGAAATAAGAGGAAGGAGTATAGGAAGAAGGAGAGTGTCATGGTTAAAGAATTTAAGGGACTGGTTTAAATGCAATTCTGTAGAACTCTTTAGAGCAGCAGTGGATAAAGTAAAGATAGTGATGATGATATCCAACCTCCGATTGGGAGACGGCACTTAAAGAAGAAGAAGGCAGTTAAAAATGTGGGCGGGAGCGTCCGGTACCCCACAAACAGTACAGTCTGCCGAGGCAGATTTGCCTGTTCTATTTGTAAAGGTGCCAAAACTACCATGTCCGTACAGAAATTGCGTCAGAAAGTAGTCTAGTTTCCTGAACTTACATTCCCACCATTGTCTCAGATCGGAAATAAGCTCCTTCGTTCACCTTGCCTTTTCACTATCATTCGCTCATTCTCTCTGCCACTTTACTATCGTTCTTTCTCTCTCATTTTCATGTATATTTACATCCATCCTCCTTGCATACATCCTCGCTCGCTCTTTACACAACAATTACATATAGAGCCTCATTCGAGACTGTCCTATATGCGCTAGATAGCCTGAGAAGCATTTGCCTTTGCGAAGTCTCAATCAGCTTAGCGTATTTTGCAGTGTTTAGTACACTACAGCAGACAGGGGCAGCGTAGGTTACTACCGACTAAAAAACTCCATGTAACACTTTTCTTTTTGTGCTTTCTGGGCCTCCAATATCCTCCAATATCATGGACTGATAGAATTACAAATAAAGAAGTACTAAAGAGGGTTGATACAAAAACAGAACTAATCACCACTATACAAACCAGAAAACTGGAATACCTACCTAGGCCACGTGATGAGGGGTCCAAAATAGGAAATTTTGAGACTCATAATACAGGCAAACATTCAAGGAAGAAGATCTCGCCCAGTTCCTGTGATTAAAGTCTTAGTCTGCATCTCTTTTCTATAAAAATGGTTCGACTCTAAAATATTTTAAAATATACCTTGAACTTTTAATATAAAATCTATATCTATATCATTAAAAACTGTATTCACAGTTCATAATTCATCATTAGTGATATCTTAAACAAAAATGTTTAATAATGACTGAAAAATTAAATTTTTAATAATTATAAATTTGTCGCTTCATAACTTTCAAATGAATACTCATATATCTAAAACTTTTATCTTTTTTGGGTTATAACATAAACTCACTGTATAATAAGGCAACCTAAAACATTACCATTATTACTATTTAACAAACAACTTTTACCTTTTTTAGAACCTAAAGCTTGTGGGCGTCCTGAACAACCACCGAATTCTACAATGGTCGCACCAAATTTCAACGTAGGTTCAACAATCGAGTACACTTGCGATGATGGTCATCTTCTTGTTGGTCCAACCAGTCGAGTTTGTTTAGAAACTGGATTTTATAACGAATTTCCACCAGTTTGTAAAAGTAAGTGATCTAGTAGAGTATTGTATACTTAAGAGTTAAAAGTTAGTTAAAATAGTAAAAAATTTCAATTATTTGTATAATACTAATTTTACTAGTTATTATTATATATATGCAAATGATGAGAAACTTTTAGCAAAAGCTTGCGATTGCTTTGATAAAATAGAAGCCGAATATTTTGGCATTGGAGCACAAATTAGTCAAACCTTTTTCACGTTAGAATCAGAATCAATGGAACGATACAACTGCTATTTCTATGTCTACCTTGACTGTCGTTATATAGTCGTGTTAGATCGTTCTGTTGATTCCAATTCAAACGCGATAGTAGAAAGATAGAAGATGAAAGTATAAGGTAACAGGAAATACGTACAGTCCGTCCCAAACCCTTCTTTCAGTGCGTCATAGTTGTTCGAATTCTCTCTAACGCATTAAGCTAGAAGTGACAGAAAAAAACGTGAGTCCCCAATTATTATACATAGAACTTGGAAAATTAGGTATCGGTCACGGGTATTCGCATATTAAAGCGAATTCTACTTACGAACGTATAATTGGTTGGAGTTTAGAATACACTAAATAGATATCCAATTAATTATGCATATAAATATAATTTGACACAGATGATCTTGATAATGACAGTGACAGTACTTTCACAATGTCAACTGATAAAATGATAATTGCCGTTCCAGGTTAGTATTTTCAGACATTTTACCTACAGTGAAAATTAAATTTTGTATTTATTGTCATAAAAATATTTTAAATATTCCGAGATATACCGAGAATGAACAAAGACTAATATTACAATTATTAAATTAGTTTCAATTAGAAAAAGAGGCTCAGTTATCTTTATTATCAGTTTCTGTCGTTCGCGAATCAGATTGTGAATTCCGGAATGATATTGAGAAAATATCTTGAACTAATACGGTTATGGATATTTATATGTATTAAAACGGTTCTTTTTAGAACCACATTTTCTTGAAATTTAAGATATAATTGATACCAGCCACATATCTAGTGTAATCATTGATTTTAAAGAATCAGATTCTGAATGGGATTATGGATTGTTTGAAATATAATATTTATTTTTGTTATTCATAAAAAAGAAGGTAAACTTACATTCGGTATCTTGTTTTTTAACTAAACTCCATTAACACGATTTCATCTGGATACCGGAACTGGTAGATTAACTCAAAAATCAACAACTGCTTCACTATTTAAACTATTTATATTGTTTTTTAACTAAACTTTATAACCTTCTTTCATTTGCACACCAAATCTGGTAGAATAACTCAAAAATCAACTGCTACACTATTTAAACTATTTCCACTATTTAATGACAAATCTTCACAAAATTAAACTATTGGCTGCCACAGAAACTTATCAATCAGAAAATTACTTATCCAAATATGACTGATTTCAATCGATATTATTTTATCACAGAAATGTTTACTTTGATGCCTTGCAATTGCAATTATTGTCAGTAAATTTTTTACCTTGCAGTCAACTCTTAAAAGATTCTAGGAGGAAGCGTTATTTTAAATAAACAAACCTTCCAATTCCCTAGTGTTTAAATAATAATAAATCCATAAACAAATCTTAGCTAATTAAGCACTTTCCTTGGAATGTATAGAATAGAACAGAATTATGACAAACTGCTATGCATTTTAAAAAAAATAACCTTTTCACATTTAGCCGATTACGATCCTGCAACTGTCAGATTTAACTAAAATGTCATGCAATAATTCTCGACATTCTTTAAATCCTATATGACGTCAAAATTAGTGACGCACTGAAAAAAGGGTTTGGGACAGACTGTATTTTTGACTATTTGGTCGTCAAAAGAGCAGATTAACTTGGGAAAAGATCTACAGGAGCGACTAATTAAGGCAGTACTATCAGAAGTCCCTGCATCTCAGCCTGATGACTCTGCAAACACAGCCACGAAGGAAGCTACAGGTACCTAAGGAAAGGATTGTAGCAATAATGTCAGGAGACCCTACGTTCTAGAGCTACAACTAAAACAGCCACAGAGAATTACACTACCTTGTAGCTCTAGAACGTATGGTCTCCAGATATTATTGCCACAATTATTGATAACATTGCTCTTGAGTGATCCTTTCCTCAGGTAGCTGTAGCCTCCTCCGTAGCTGTGTTGCAGAATTACCAGGCTGGGCTGCTGTAACTTCTGACAGTACTGCCACAATTAGTCGCATTGCTCCTGTAGATCCTTTTCTAAGTTATTTTGCTTTTTTTCTAACTTCGCTGCACTGTATTGATGATTATTCGACAGCCAGTGGTCCACTTCACTGTATAACATAAGAAGTACGAACCTAAATTACTCTAGTAATAAAGTTATGAACTTTCGATTTCCACTTCAGAAATAGTAATGAAAATATGAAACAAATAATTTCTCAATTAAATTGAAAAAAATCAAAAAATCCTTTTATAATCTTTTTTACAGTATTAATAAGAAAATATTTACAGAAAATCCTTTTGATATAATTATAGTTTGCCTTTTTTGCTTAACATTAAAGACAGTTGTACATTAGTTAAAAAGGTTATGAAAAGATTTAGATTTTTGAAACATATTTTTATTTTATATTGGCCTTAAAAAGTATTTATTACAGCCAGGTTAGTAGTTCCTAGAATTTAATGTGATTCTGATTAGTGAGTTCTAAGAGATTACAGCTGAACTTACAGCTGAGAATTAAGTTTCTAAAATGTTATGTTTATCTTGTATTACTGTATGGATGTGAATTCTAGATTATAAAGGTTAACATGACAAACAAATTAAAAGCCTTCGAGATGTGGTTATATCGTAGAATCCTTAGAATATCATGGGTTCAACACATTTCAAACAGAGTAGGTCAAGGTGAAGGTGACTTAATAAAGATGATAAAAAAGAGAAAACTCGAATATCTGAGGCATTTAATGAGAGAAAGCAGATACAGAACAATGCAATTGATACTCAACGGAACGATCTACGGAAGAAGAGGAATCGGTAGAAAGAAATACTTATGGCTTAGACAGCTTCGTAAATGGACTGGTTTATCAGCAGATGAATTATTCCATGCCGCGCAAGATCGAGAACGATATTGACAAATCTTCATGGAAGCTACTCACGTCTAAAACTTGGGTACGGTACTCAAAGAAGAAGAAGAAGATATTAACGTAAGCGTAGATATTTATTGACTTCCTCATAGCCTGTACTTGGATTTGACCGTTTGAAGAGCTAATACCTTATTTTATCGATATAGTCCGGAATCCCGGACCCATTTTTATCCTTTATTATTAACAAGCTCTCTTTTAGCCAATCATACTCTCCTCGTAGCTAAAGTAATGCTTAAACTTAAAGCACCCAACAAACAAATAGAGATAAAGAGGATAGAACTAAGAAAGAAAGATGACCTTCTACAGGAAGTACAGAAAAGTATGCCCTCTATTCGTAACGGAACATCACAAGAAATATGGGAGACTGTTAAACATTGCGTAACAACACTAGTGGATCGCTCAAAGGAAAATAATCCGGTGAAACAGAAACACTGGATAACAGATGAAACTCTTAAAATAATTGAGAATAGAAGAAATCTTTGTAAAAGTGGTGTACATAGTGAAAGGGAAAAAGCTAGTTTAAGAAACCTCAATAAAGAAATAAAACGAAGATGTAAGACCGACAAAAAACAGTACTATCAAAGTATATGCAAAGAAATTGAGAGACATGGTCAGAATAATCAGCCGAGAGTTCTATTTAGAAAAATACGCTACCTGACAAGAGACTTTAGAGCCATAACTTGGGCCATTAAAGATAACACTGGAACCCTGAGAACAAACAGAGAAGACATAGCATAGACATGGAGATCGTATTGCAGGGACCTATATAAAAATGATCAACGCCAAGAGCTTGTTAGCCAAATCTCTGACGAGGTGGAAGAAGAACCTGATATACTCGAAAACGAAGTAAGACAGGCTATCAACAAGCTCAAATATAACAAAGCACCAGGTCCAGATATGATAACAGCAGAAATGCTTAAAGCCATAGAAGAAACCGGCGTAAAGTTACTTTATCTACTCTGTAAACAAATGTGGCATTCCAAACAATGGCCTGAAGTCTGGACAAAATCTACAGTAACGACCATACATAAAAAAGGCACCTTCCATAAATGCGACAATTATAGAACTATCTCTCTTATGTCCCATGCCAGCAAGATAATGCTACATATAATCAATCAGAAACTGAAAACATTCCTTCAAAGAGAAATTCCACAAGAGCAAACTGGATTTACCAAAGGTAGAGGCACTCGAGAACACCTGCTAAATATAAGACAGATAATCGAGAAATCTAGGGAATTCAACATCCCACTATACATCTGTTTTATAGATTACCGTAAAGCGTTCGACAGGGTCAAGTGGAGACACTTATAGCGAATACTAAAAGAAGTAGGCGTACCACAACATCTAATTACGCTTATAACTGAACTATATGAACACACTACTGGATCAGTTAAAGTACTTGACATACTTTCGAACGAGTTTCATCCAGAACGGGGTGTCAGACAAGGATGTATACTATCTCTACAATTATTCAACATATATGGAGAGTATATTATGCGAAGAGCACTTGAAGGATGGGAAAAGGGCATCTCAATAAATGGTCATAAACTAAACAACCTACGTTTCGCAGATGACACAGCCCTTCTTGCAAATAGCCAAGCAGAGCTGATGGAACTTATACGACTGATCGAAAACGAAAGTCAAATATTTGGTCTGCAATTAAACATATCAAAGACAAAGATCATGATAGTGGATAGACTACACAACAATCATCCACACATAACCACAATTGACCGGTTCGAGGTTGTGAGCTCATACTTATATCTGGGATTATTAATCACAAACACAGGGTCATTACAAGAAGGGATTAAACGTAGATATGATCTAGCAAAAGTTGCCACAGCAAAGATGACCAAAATATGGAAGGAATGTCAAATTGCAACAGCGATAAAGATGAGGTTGATCAACTGCTTAATATTCCCAATACTGACCTACGGATGTGAATCTTGGACTCTGAGACAATCGGAGAGAAAAAAGATAGACGCCACTGAAATGTTCTGTTGGAGATGAATGTTACGAATTTCTTGGGGACCGACCGTAGAACAAATAATTCAATTTTAAGAGAGCTAAAAGTTAGCTAACGACTCTCTAGTAAAGTCCATCTCCAACAATTAAAATATTTTGGGCATGTTATGAGAGCAAACACAGAAAACATGGAAAGACTCATAATACAAGGAAAGGTAGAAGGCCGAAGATCACGAGGAAGATCCCAACAAGATGGATAGATTAAATTACAGTAATATGCCAAAGACCTATGCATGAATTAAAAGAAATGACCAGAGACAGAGATCTCTGGAGAGGGACAATACACGACATCACGTCGTCCACTACACTTTCTCTGGGGGGTCAGGATTGAAGAGAGAGATTAACAAGCTAACTTTTCATAGTAGTTTCATTTTTACAAGACGCCTAACTTTGCCCTCACATTAATTTGCGTTTCTAGTAATTAACATACTAGGAACGTCTCTGAATTAGCGTTTTTGGAAAACAGTTAATTTATCTGCGCTATTTGGGGAAAGTTGCTTTGAGGATATCGTGGTACTTGTCAGGAAGTTCGTTGTCAACAAAGTGAAGAAGCTTAGCTGAAGGAAATGAAACTTTTGTTAGGTGGTTCCTAATGAGTATGTGCTCTCTGCGGTGACAGGGTGTCCTTAAAGTTGGCTTAGCTCTATTTTTTGAGCCAGCTATTGTGTGGAGGGCGTATCTTTTGGCGAGAGATCGGAATCTGTCCTTTATTGATGTAATATTTGCAATTTTTGCAAATTTGCAACAGGAGTCTAGCTTTTCTTACCCTCTTTAGATTGTCTTTAATATCAATGTCTCAGTTGAGAGTCCTAGTATAATGAGTTTTCAAGTAGAACACCAAGTTTCTGTAATAAAGAGTTTCTCCTTGGAGGACTATCTGGTTCCTCCCAGCATTACTGCCTTAAGAATTCTGTTTAACTGGTCTTGTGCTCTATCGAACACAGACGGATATGTTCTTGTAGTAAGGAGTGCAGTATCGTCAGCAAATAATAATATTAACTCTGATTTAGTCAACCGGTGGTGTGTGTTACTGTTGTAGACTGTGTATAATAATGATGCTAGAATATTGAGCCCTGGAGAACTCCAGCTTGTGGAGTGGATAGTGTTGATGTTGTGTTAGCGACTTTGACACGGATTATCCGATTGGAGAAATAGGAGTGGATTATTTTTACTAATGGTAGGCAGTTCAGCACGGCAGAGATTTTCGATCAGACCTGTGTGCCAAACCTGATCGAAGGCCTTCTGGACATCAAGAAAGGTGTCTATGGCGAATCTATTTATTTCATTAAGTGCTTGTCATGAAGGTTGCTGCTATTAATCAATGCATTTTGTGCGAAGTGTTCAGCTCTAAATCCAAATTGGAAGTTGCGGATGAGAAGATGTGCGTCGAGGAATTCTACGAGCCTCTTCTTTGGGATCCTCTCGTAGACATAAGTTGCTGATTAGTCAGGTAGGTGTGTAGGATTCAGTGCTAGTTGGGCATTTCCCTAATTTGGGAATTATAACTGTATTGGCTACTTTACAAGAAGTAGCGAATAAGTTTAACTGGAGATATGTATTAAATATGTTTGTAAGCAGCGGGATAGTACTCTCTTGTAGTTTTTTGAGTCATATTTAATGAATGCCATCTGGGCCAAGAAATGTGTTTTTACCTAAGTTACACATCTGTCTGACGGTATCCTTTAGCACCGGTGCCACCGATGCACATCGGATGAGGATGGGGCCCCATGTGGACTGCAGGGTAGTAGAAAGGTTTTTCAGTCTCCTTTTGGTATCCCTCTTAAATCGCTCGCTAAAGTTGCGGTTAATAGGGAAAACGAGTGCGGCCTGAAGTGAGTTTTTAAATAGCTTGGCCTTATCTTGTGGATTATTGATGATGGTATTATTTACTTTAAAATGAGATCGGGCCTAACTCTTTTACTTGGTTAGGAGTTTAAATTCTTTCCACAATTTTAAACCGTCTCAATAGTAAAGGCTGGTTGTAACTTGCCTCCACTGTTTTTGCTTCATTTTATTTACTTTGCCAGCCTTATTGACGCACGAAGACACTGTATTCTGTTTTGATGAGGGGACCCCGAAATCTTATATACTCTCTGATTAATATGCATTTTAGTTTGACGTTTGCTATGATTTTTTGTGAAAGTATTTGAGTATATCAATTGTATAAAATGGTTGGAATCGACGAAAAATAAAGCTTCTTGAAGAAAAGTTTCAATTTTTGTAATCCTGTGTCAATTTGGTTGTTTGTTAACAGATTACCCAACTCTGGGAGGTTATTCTTGATATGTTCTTAAAATAGTTTTTAATAAAGGGATAAACTTTACAATAATCTTGTCTATGGCTAGCAGTAGTGGTTTGTGGAGGTGAAATTATGTCGGTTTTGACTAGCACTGGCAAGTAGTCAGGGATTATTAAATCACCAACGAAATATTCATCGTTGAATCTATCCAGTAGCCTGTTAGAACAGAGAATATATTCGATAATGGATATTCCACTGTGAATGAAGAATGTCTGAAAGTATTCTGCCTGGAATTTTTGTGGAGGTATCACTGAATTTCACACTTAACAGTGTTTTTCTGTTGAGGTTACCCAATAAAACCGCCTTATTGAGTGGGAAGAAGTAATCGATAAATGGAACAGAAGGAAAAACCAAAAATATTTATAGTAGACGAATATAGGTTGGGAATATGTAAAATTTATTACAACTATATTGGACGTAATGGTTACAGCGACATAGCAGATTTGGAAACACGGCAAGAACTACTAAATACTGCTACCCCTGCAATTTGGGAAAAAAGTATGCAGTTCGTTTTCTGATTAAGAAAATTTTTTAAGTGTTATTGTTATATTTTTATCACAAATTACTTACCACTACAATTAATAAAACAAAATTTGTATTTTGTTCTTTTTTTGCACTAATATTTATATATTTCTCTAAATGAATGTATAATAGGTATATTATTAGTTAAAATCGTATTTTTGCTTGTTTTCGACAGTGCTTTAAACATTGGGAGAATTTGCTATTAACTTTTGAAGCACAGCAGACCGTTTAAGTTAAAGCTTTTATCCCTATTATGAATAGTCACAAATTCGTCAGAAAATGTACTATATTCAGCTCACTGGCAAAGTTTTATCTATTCCATAGAGCTTATTTTAAAACTTGGCGAAATTCAAAATGGTAAATAATTGTTAATTTAATTGTTAATTGTTAATTTCTAGTTAAAGCCTGTACGAAAATTTCAGTGGAAATACGTTATTCGTAAAACAAAAAAACTCAATTTTATTTATGATCCAATCCTTGATGTTCGATTGATTTTAGGAATTCAATGTGGTTACCCAGCGGATATTGCCAACGGAGAATACAATTTGGTAAATGACAGCGTTGGATATTTATCCAGAGTAATCTACTCGTGCGATGAAGGATACGAAATGATCGGACGTGCTCAATTGGCGTGCGATATCGACGAAAGATGGAATGGCCCTCCGCCACGATGTGAAGGTAACGTGTCATTAATTTTATATCGAATTCTGGTTTAGCGAAATAACGTTTTTTAAAATGTTAACAAGGTTCGTAACAAGAACTCATTCTCATTAAATACAAACATACTACGAAGTTAGGATTGATTAGATTTATAAAAGATTTAAAAAAATAAGAGTTACACACAACCAAACTTATATGGAATCACCATGTATTTCAAAAAAATATTCATATCTTTTATGATATGAATATTTATGATATGATATCTTTTAAAAAATATTATTGTTGTGAAGAATAATGGTTTTTATTGAAAATGAACAAACTATTAAAACAATCAGATAACACAGCTCGGTACGTTATATATTCTTTGCTTTAGCTGTAAGTTAAACAAAAATAAATAAAGTTAGGGGAAGTGTGCCTATGTTAGACCCCTGCCTATGACGGACCCCCGGCTGTAATTTTAAATAGCGCGCGGTTACATAAACATCGCCGGTTGCCGCTTGCGCACGAAGTTTGAATTTTAGTATTTGCAAAGTTTCAGACACGTGGCTGTTAAAACAGTAAATTTGTGAAATAAAATTAAAATTTGGCGTTGCTGATCTAATAAATTTTTTTGGTAAGTAGCATTTTACTGGTAACATACGTTAAGCTAAGTGTTGCTTTTGTTTTGTATAAAATGACTACACTTTCTTTGTCAAATACTATACTTTGTTTTAGGTTAAAATGGTCAAAGGAAAAGTAACAGAATTAAATTTGCTGCCTTGTCTATTTGCCTATGATGGACCCCTTTGTCGTTACCTATGACGGACTAGGGGTCCATCATAGGAAAAAGAAAATAAAATTGGACACACCTTCAGTTTTTGTTACTTAATGATTAACATAATATGTTTTACAGGGATCTCTCTACAAAAAAGGCAACAGTGGAACGAGAGTAATATGCAACAAGCTTTAAAAAGCATGCAAGAAAAAACTATGGGGTTTAAGCTGGCTGCAAAAACATTTCTTCTTCTTCTTAACATGCCATACACCAAAGTGCGTAGGCGACTATCTCATTACTAGAATTCTGTTCTTGGCGGCGTGACACAGCTCACATACGCAAATGCAAAAACATTTAACGTTCCAAAAACGACTTTGAAAAGGCGCTTTATTAAGCATCAAGGAAGCATCAAAGGTGATTTGGGAGGACGAAGAACGATATTCTCCACTACTATTGAACAGGAAGTTGCTGACCATATTATTACTATGGAAACTCGTTTTTTTTGGTCTGACTAGTAAAGATTTGCGAAAACTTGTATACGAAGTAGCTGAAAGAAACAATATTAGCCACAATTTTAATAAGAAAACCAGGATGGCAGGCTGGAAATGGGTCAGAGGCTTTTTAAAGCGAAATCCTCGAATATCATTACCCACTCCAGAAAATACTTCGTTGGCAAGGGCTCAAGCTTTTAATAAATTAAATATATGTGCCTATTTTACTGCATTAGCAAATATATTAGACGAGTTTCACTTTCCACCGGCAAACATTTATAATATGGACGAGTCCGGTTTGACAACTGTGCAAAAGAAATCGCAGAAAATTTATGCTAGTAAAGGTCGCAAACAAGTTGGTGCTTTAAGTAGTGCAGAGCGCGGTCTACATGTTACGGTCGTATGTGCAATGAATGCAATTGGAACATATGTTCCTCCTGCTTTGATTTTTCCTCGACAGAGAAAGAAAGATGAACTTATGATCGATGCACCTACTGGAAGTATAGCCTTCGCTCAAGAAAAAGGATGGATGACTTTCGATATTTTCTATTTATGGCTGCAACATTTTTTAAGGTATACAAAGGCTTCTAAAACCAAAAAAGTTTTGTTGTTACTCGATGGCCATGGTAGTCACAAAAGTTTTGAAGCTCTCCAGTTTGCAAAGGAAAACGGTATTATTATGTTTTGTTTTCCTGCTCACTGTTCTCATCACGTTCAACCCTTGGACGTAGGATTTTTTAGACCACTTCAAATTTACTACGGCCAAGAAATTCAATTATGGCTGCGACAGAATCCAGGTAAAACGGTGACCCAATTTAAAGTAGCCAGTCTCTTTAATAGAGCGTATTTAAAAAATGCTTTACCATCAAATCCAATCAATGCATTTAAAAAGACAGGAATACAACCATTCAATCCAGATGTCTTCGAGGATTGGCAATTTTTGCCGTCTATAACAACAGATAGAGAAAATTCTGCACAAAACCCACTGCCAGAATGTTCTGACCAGAAGTCACCACCGGAACATTGGAGCCAAAATGATTCTTCCATTGAAAGTTTATCAAAAAGCCCCACTGATCAGAAATCAACATCATCGTCAGTTCTACACATCTCGGTAGAAAATATTTGTCCTCCTCCTTTAGCTGGAGTATCTCAAGTAATGCAGGAAAGGGGTAGAAAACGGGGTAAAACAGGATATTTAAATTCAACGCCAGAAATTGAAGATATAAAACAAAAAATTGCAGACAAAGAAGCAAAAAAAAGGAAACAAGACGCCAGAAAAGTGAAAAGGCAAGTTCGTGTTTCAACTACAAGTGGTTCTGAAGACGATTGTGAATGCTCTTTTGTAGAAGGCGACTCGGACGATGCAGCTTGCATCTACTGTAACGAACTATTTTCGCATTCACGATCCAATCAAAAATGGATTCGTTGTCAAGTGTGTAAGAATTGGTGTCACACTGAATGTGCAGATGTAAATCCTCGACATAAACAATTTGTGTGTGAATTGTGCACGTAGTTTTTTTATTCTTAAAAATACCATGTGTAATATTTTTTATCGTTTGTAATGTCTTTTGATCTAATAAAATAATTTGGTATTTAATTATTTTATTGCGCTCATGATGGTACCAAAGGGTCCATCATGAGCGCATATATGCCCATGATGGACCCTTGACAGGATTGTAGTAAATTATGAATAAATTTTTAACATCACTTTCTCTGTAAAATTTGAAACATTTGCGATATTGTACAAATAACGAGACGTTATGTGGTCATATTTAAAGTCTGCTAAGTAAATAATTAAAATTATTATGAAGCTATTTTCTTAAGGGGACCATCATAGGCACATTTCTCCTACTTTTGCGTTCAAAAGCGAAACTATGCCTTGTGTGGGGGTTAACGCATGTGCAGTCCAGTCTGGTTAAAAAAAAGGTCGAAAAATTTTTCGCAGATGTCTGAAGCTCTTAAGACATAGGTGGGGGTTACTAGATGACGAATAGATGAAAAGTACTCGTATTTTTACTTTGAGTTTTTTTAAACAATAATTTATGGTAAAAATTTGATTTTTGTTCTATAAGTGTTTTCCCTTATATTTTACATAAACAATATTTATATCATTTTTTTATATCAAGAATATTTTTATTTTTCAGTTTTTTAAATTAAAATTGATAAATATTCTGCATCACTTACTTTTATTTTCTTGCGTGAACTGGCCATTCTTATATTGCACAATTTACTGAAATAGTTACGTGAATTGTGATGTGCCGTCAATTTGACGTATTGTGAACACGTGGTAATTCAAAAAATATCGCTCGAAAACGCAACAAATTTCTGCTACAGTCCGTCCCAAACCCTTCTTTCAGTGCGTCATAGTTGTTCGAATTCTCTCTAACGCATTAAGCTAGAAGTGACAGAAAAAAACGTGAGTCTCTGATTATTATACATAGAACTTAGAAAATTAGGTATCGTTCACGGGTATTCGCATATTAAAGCGAATTCTACTTACGAGCGTATAATTGGTTAGAGTTTAGAATACGCTAAATAGATATCCAATCAATTATGCATATAAATATAATTTGACACAGATGATCTTGATAATGACAGTGACAGTACTTTCACAATGCCAACTGATAAAATGATAATTGCCATTCCAGGTTAGTATTTTCAGATATTTTAACTACAGTGAAAATTAAATTTTGTATTTATTGTCATAAAAATATTTTAAATATTCAGAGATATAGGTACCGAGAATGAAAAAAGACTAATATTAAAATTATTAAATTAGTTTCAATTAGAAAAAGAGGCTGAGACATCTTTATTATCAGTTTCTGTCGTTCGCGAATCAGATTGTGAATTCCGGAATGAGATTGAGAAAATATCTTAAACTAATGCTTTTATGGATATTTATATGTATTAAAACGGTTCTTTTTAGAACCACGACATTTTCTTGAAATGTAGGATATAATTGATACCAGCCACATATCTGGTGTAATCATTGATTTTCAAGAATCAGATTCTGAATGGGATTATAGATTGTTTGAAATATAATATTCATTTTTGTTATTCATAAAAAAGAAGGTAAACTTACATTCGGTATCTTGTTTTTTAACTAAACTCCATTAGCACGATTTCATCTGGATATCGGAACTGGTAGATTAACTCAAAAATCAACTGCTTCACTATTTAAACTATTTATATTGTTTTTTTTTTTAACTAAACTTTATAACCTTCTTTCATTTGCACACCAAATCTGGTAGAATAACTTAAAAATCAACTGCTTCACTATTTAAACTATTTCCACTATTTAATGACAACTCTTCACAAAATTAAACTATTGGCTGCCACACAAACTTATCAGAAAATTACTTATCCAAATATGACTGATTTAAATTGATATTATTTTATCACAGGAATGTTTACTTTGATGCCTTGCAATTGTCAGTAAATTTTTTTACCTTGCAGTCAACTCTTAAAAGATTCTAGGAGGAAGCGTTATTTTAAATAAACAAACCTTCCAATTCCCTAGTGTGTGTAATAAACAATAATAAATCCATAAACAAATCTTAGCTAATTAAGCACTTTCAATGGAATGTATAAAATAGAACAGAATGGAATAGAATTATGAAAAACTGCTATGCAAAAAAAAATAACCTTTTCAGTTTAGCCGATTACTATCCTGCAACTGTCAGATTTAACTAAAATGTCATGCAATAATTCGCGACATTCTTAAAATCCTATATGACGTTAAAATTAGTGACGCACTGAAAAAAGGGTTTGGA